TTTTCTCCCCTGAGCATCCCAGAATAGCTATTTGATACAATATAATTCAAAATGGCTGCCGTATCGCCGTAACGTGTGACGTGTGCAGTTTCATTTTAGCTGCAAAATTTCCGCCGAGTTAGCTGCAAGTTCCTTTTATTGAAGTTTCCGCCATGTGAACATTATTCTGAACAATCCAAACCGTACTTCGAGCGTTTGACTTTTGCCAAGCTAAGATGTTTTCTAAAACTTGAGTATTTTGACTTTCTTTGCATACATTTTCATTGAGTATTTTTGACTTTGTCTGCCTACATTTTCATTAACTGGAAGAAGTGAATTTTTCATTGAGAACTTAAGAAACCAGATGAAGCTTTTACATCCGACTGTTCCTCAACTGAACGTCATCTATATCTTTACTATTGAGGATATGGAAAACACACCATTATGGTCCGGGGAGAGGGGAGGGGGTTCAGTAGGTAAAACACGTATTTTGAGATGCCGACGAATAGAATGCAGGAGAACAGCAAAGAGGTTACTGTCGATGCTGTGCAGATTCGTTTTGCCCGTGTGATTATAACGTGGTGTCGATTTGACAGCGGAAACACAAGTGCAGTGTAACGGTCAAGGAACCAAGGAACAGAATGACGAGTGACACGTTTGTGGGTTTGTTGAAGAATTTCAGTGGATCACAGTTTACGGTGTAAAGCATAAAGCCATTTCCAATTGAAAACAAGGGCGACGTAAGCAAAAATATGATTCCAAATATTGCATTTAGCTGATGTTCATTGTTAAAGCAAGCGCTTGTTTCGATCGTGTTAAATGCACCAAAAAAGATGATTTGCAAACACAACACAACATAAAGTTTAGTTAACTGTAAATCACTAATGTATTCGCATGCTTCTTGCCAAAAATACTCGTTCTATTTTCTTTTAAGCAAAATCATTTATGCATTTTTTTTTTTTTTTGCATATGTTTTGGCATTTGGTAATATATAACGGAAATTAGAAAAGAGAACTCTCGGTGACCTCATAAACATTTCAGACAAGGAACCTGATTGCGATCTTCTACGGCCTGACTTGTACCCAGTCTCTAATCAGTTATTTTGTTGGAAAAACAGACGATCCGAGAGGATCTGCAGCGAGATCATGGGTTAAGTCCCTTCCCAGAACACCCTCGCACCACGTAATAGACGCCTGCCTAAATATAGCGACTGAATTTTGCGTCACAATCGATATAATAGTTGCTAAGAAGAATACAACTACTTTGTAGGTTATCTTAAATCAAATCAAAGTTCTGTATGAGCAGACTCGTGAATTTTGCGGTGGATTTTAATTGATATGAGCTCTCCTTTGCGGAAAATGGAATATGGAATTACTATTTTCATAAAGAAAACACTATTGTGTTAAAGGGGGAAAATTTTAATAAGCGATATAACCAACGCTTCCTGAACTGAAAAGAAAGTTCTCACAGTAAACTTTGACAAAGTTCTTTAATCTTCGGCCTTCATGCCCACAGCAGGAAGGTGTTTAAAAACTGTTTACCAAACTGTTTTACCTTGAAAAACGATCTAGATTTTCTTTCCACTCACCCAAGCAGGAGAACTCACAGTATGTTAATGTCATGTGGCAAACAGAAAATCCCCTTCGGCATGCATCATTTCTCGAAAAGGACGCAGCAATTGATGCAACTATTGTAATGACGTGAATACCTTTATAGCGGAGCTTCATCACATGACGTCACGGCAACCGCTTGCGCTTGTGCTCCATTTTGAGCCTGGTCGCAGGCTAACAAAACGGCGCCTATGTTTGTGTACCAAGCTGATCCTGTGGGAGTTCAACTCTTTTCCTATGTAAGCTGTTTTGTTTTTCCGATAAATTTGCATGGTTACTGTCTACGGGAATGCAAACGCTCCATTGTCGTAGAACTTTCAAATTGCATGTCGCGTGCATTATGACGTAATTAATTAATTAAATGATTGATGTCAGGAATGGTAATGAGCAGTTCTCTTGGGTTTTCTACAATGGCGAAAGTTTTATCCTCTCTCAAGAAAATTATCAAGTCTATACGATTAGTTTTTGTGGGGCGTTTTGCAGTATTCGTCCTGCTTTTGACACAGTGTAGTTTTTTCGCCGCTTATCCAATATGGTACACGGATAATCTGCGTTGGATTGCTGTCGTAACGTTGTACTTTCCAGCGATATTTTACTGGGGTCACTGCCTGAAAATTGGTGCAGGACTTGCCAGAATGTTTCATACCTGGGGACTGTTCGTTCTGGTTGCTTTAGTACCCAACATAGCCATCACGTTTGGAGTATGTGGAGACGAACTCGACAACGAAAGCTATCTCGGCCCAAACACTTTGAAAGTGATTATATGCTTCACTCCAGTTCTGTTCCTCCTTTTACTAAACACAGCAAAAGACTTGGGAGAACACGAAGACTATAGACAGCTTGCTACGCAGTTGTCTCTTCGCATATCCATTGATCTGTTCGATGGAGTCGCCATGTTGGATGTGGTACTCGACGAGAGAGAGAATCACTACGGAATTGAGAAAGGATTTGGAATAATGATGATCAGCGTGGCTTGTTTTAGCTTTGCGTTGTCCCTTTTACAAATGGTGGAAAATAAGCTCGATCAAGGACGCTGCCAACTTCGCAAGAAGCTCGTCATCATCCGCAGTGGTATTCAAATGGTTCTGGTGAATGTGATCTTCTTGATAATTCGTCTGGTGATCTTCATAAAGTACGGAAAAGATGAATCTATCTTTATGGCAAAAAATGGCATCGCCATATTTCTCTCCTTGTCTGAGATCTATCATTTATTGAACCGTAAGATTTGAATCCGACTTGCGTTAACTTCTTTGTCTTAGCTTACACTGAAAATTAAAAATTCATAACGTTTTCTTTACTCCTTTGAATTTTTGATATAGTTACACTTTGGCTAAAAGCTGTTCAGTTATTCAAGATGTGTTNCAAGGAAAGCTTTTGACAAAATCTGGAGATTTTTTGAAAATGATCCGATGTTAACGCGGCCGTACAGTGAGCTGTAATTTTCAGACTTGGTTTTCCCTCAGCTTCTGTTTGCTGGATTTTTGTCTAGTGTGACGTGAGATCCTATGAAAATTTATATTAACAGAAATAATACTGTACGCAAAACAAAAATTTATTTGGTAGAGACTTAACCAAGGCTCTATTAAGTAGACATCTTCTTGCCTTCTTATGCTGTGCTGTTGTTTTATCAGCTTGTGACATTTACAATTATTCGATAAAAGACGAAAAGAGACAACCCAAAATTTCCATAATTTTCATAAATTTCATTAAAAGTTGAACAGGATTTAGAAATGGTTGATTTCTTTCCCAGAGTGTCACAGCACAGAATCTATGATCACTAAGTTTTACTAAATTTCTTCTTAAATTCTGGTTCTTTTGTAAAAATGAGGTAAGAGATTGCTCATATGTTATCGTGGAAAAACTCATAAATACATGGTTGAAATTCTACTTTTCTACTGTGTCGTTCAAATTAATGTACAAGCATTAATAACACGCACGGCTCAGCATAAGTTAGATTATCAGGCTTGCCTTGGTTAAGATTTCGATTGAAGTAAACGTATTTGAACAAGCAAAACAGTCATGGCTGCAATAAAATGCAAAAACAAAGCTGGTCATCTTATGTATGTCATTAAAAAGGCATCATGACATCATCATCATGACATCATGCGTCAAGAATTACAAGTATTTTATGGAGTGTTTCTCGAAAAGTGCCATATATGTAATGAAACCCGTTAGTTTTCTTGGAAAGGTCGCGACCTTAAATTCATGTATTCAATACCTTGTTAGAAACCTCAGTGTCTGACAAAAAACACATTGTATTAGCTGGAGTTTGAAACATGGCCCCAGAGTTTATGTCTAGCTTGGATTGGACGAGTCTTTTTCTTCACCTTGCAGTTGCTTAGCGTTCATTCGTAGTCACTGGCTTCATATCCCGCAGAATATGAACACAATGAAATTTCTTGACTAACCAACCGGGAAACCCCCTTCGGTATGTATATATTTACTTTCGATTACCTCATTTCAATTCTCGGAAAACGCCACGTGTCATTTCCGAATTCGTAGAAGTGATTGGTCAGTGTACGAACAGTTCACTTAAGATTTCGATTTCTACAATGGCGGGTGTTCTGTCCTTTCTTATGAGAAAAATCAAGTCTATACGATTAGTTTTCGTGGGACGCTTTGTAGTTCTCGCTCTGTTTTTGACTCAGTGTGGATTTTTCGCGGCTTATCCAACATGGTATACAGATGATTTGCGTTGGATTGCTGTCATAATTTTGTATGTACCAGCAATATTGTACTGGGGTTATTGCCTGAAAACCGATGCTGAACTTATCAGAATGTTTTTTACTTGGGGGTTATACGTTCTGGTCGCCTTAGTACCAAACATAGCCATCACTTTTGGAGTATGCGGAGACGAACTCGACAAAGAAAACTTCCTTGGTCCTAATTGCTTGAAAGTTATTTTGTGCCTTACTCCTGTCCTGTTCCTCGTGTTACTAAACACGGCAGACGATTTGAGCGACAACGAAGAATACAGACAGCTTGCTAAAGAATTATCTGTTCACATATCCATTGATCTTTTCGATGGCGTCGAGATGTTGGACGTCGTTCTTGACGAGAGAGAAAACAACTATGGAATCAAGAAAGGATTTGGAATAGCGATGATCACCGTGGCATGTTTTAGCTTTGTGTTGACTTTGCTACAAATAGGTGAAAATAAACTCGAAAACGGAAGATGCCAACTTCGCAAGAAGCTCGCCATTATCCGCAATGGTATTCAAATGGTGTTCGTGAATTTGGTCTTCTTGATAATTCGGCTGGTGATCTTCATAGAGTACAAGAAAGATGAGTCTATCTTTATAGCAAAAAATGGCATCGCAATATTTCTCTCCTCGTTGGAGATCTATCACTATTGGAAAACTTGAATTCGGCTAACTTTAACATCTTGGTCTTAACCTCAACGAAATTTTATAACTGAATGTCACAGCCTTTCCTTTAATCTTTTGAATCTTAATTAAGTTAATCTTAATTAAGTTAATAGTAACACTTTTGGCTTAAGTACCGGTGTTTAGTTTTTCATAATGACTTTCAAGTGACGTGGCATTTCACTACTATGTTGCGGTTTTGAAGTCTTTTAATCTGGAAAGCCCTGGTTAAGCAATCCCAGCAGTTCGATCTAGCATCATGCAACAATACTCAGTGAAACTGCCAGAACATCAAAGTTTATTCTCCAGCTGCGATATTTGAAAACTGTAGGAAACAAGTTCGATTTTGGCTACGGCCTGTTTCAGTTTGCTTCAAGATGTTGGCTCATCTGAAATGTTGAGTCCAGTTAACTTTTTCAGTTCACGTAATAACAAAGTTTTTTCCGCTTAGGGACCTCTTCAGTTTTCAATTGTATTTCTTGAATATCGACAGCGATATTTTAAATTGTTGTTAAACATCAAAAAGGCAAACTTTCTGTGGATTTTAATGAAAGCTAGTGCTCTGTTGTTCTCGTGCAGTGAGGTATAATTCGCGAAGTTGGCTGATTGCCCTTTAGATCCCGTATGCTGGATGCTTTGTTTACATGATGTGAGATCCTATGAAAGTTTTTACTTACAGAAGTAATGCTATGAAAACGTTACGCTTAATTGAATGTTAGATCTAGTGTAGGGTCGTGTTTAATACTACTTTCTTCCTATTTTCTTATGTTGTGCTATACTCAGCTTTTTAAATTTATAATTTACACTTAATCGATACAAGGTGAAAAGAAACCTCTTCGATGTTTAACTGTGTTTCTTTCATCGAAAAGTATAGTTTAATTGTGTAGCTAGTGATCACCGATTGAATGGAATGCTAAAAAATTCATTGTGGAGTAAATAGAAGTGCTCCAATGTACCGTGTAAGCTGTAATTCTAGCGTTGGATTTCCTTCCATTCCGTTCGCTGGATGTTTTGTCTAAAGTGATGAAAAAGTAATATATTAAAGGGCCGGGTTACTCGAAAATCGGTTAACGCTAACCCAGGATTAAATTTTTATTTTTTTAAAAATTTTCTTGTCTAGAAATAACTTCACTGCTTCTGTTTTGTGTAGTTTGAAGTTATTCAAACTCTAAACTAAAGGGCAAACAGTATAAACAGAAAACCTCACCGGAAGATTACAAAACTGAAATCAAATTCTCGCTGATCCTGGGTTAGCTTAATTGGCTTTCAGCAACCCGACCCAGACACATAACCATGTTAAACTTAATTTAAATTTTATAGACTGAAACAAAGTTCTATTGCCGGGATAAACTTTTGGTTTGTCAATTTTCCTCGATTTGCCTTCTCAGGCTGTACTATCATCTTGTTGTGTTTAATACCGTTATGACATTTGTACTTTGCAGACTGCAGACTGCAGACTGCATTTAGGCCTAAATAGCGTCCCAGTTAGCGCGAATATCACACAGGTCAACCTGTATAGCACTCAGGCTACCCTATTTACAGTTAGCTCTATCTCTTCTCGGTAATGGAAAATGGAATACGATATCAGTTAATGTAAAAGTCTCCATTCTGCTGTCTGCAGTCTACAAATGCCATACACTCGGTAAACTTAGTCGATAACATGCGAGAAGGAATTAAACTACCTAAAACTTCCCTGATTTTAATAAAATGTCATTAAAAGTTGAACAGGCTACTGTAGAAATAGTCGTTTTCTTTCCCAGCGTGTCACGCTGCGCAGAGTTCAGGATCACAAGTTTAACTGAATTTATTCTACGTATTTGATTCTTGTGTAAACAATGAGGTATGCAAATTCTCCTTATGTCTGCTCCTCTTGAAATAACTTAGAAATACTCAGGGAATGGTTGTTGAAACTTCTACTTTTTTGCCTTTCTTTTGAATTTATTCTCAAGCATTAATTACATATTTTAATTGATGTAGAGCAACAGTCCCTTCCAAAGCACGAGTCATGAAAAGTTTGAAGTTCTCTGTTCGCTTGATTATCATGTTCGTCTTGACTAAGATTTCGTACAAGTAAACTTATTTGAGCAAGCAAAAAACAGTCGTGATTGATTGCAAGAAAATGCAAAGACAAAGTTAATTTAATCATTCTAATTATGCCATTAAGGTCATGCTGAGCTGATTTCTCAGAAAGATTGAGAAAGGTATGACGTCATGTGCAAAGACCTACGCACGTGCTAGTCTAGTTAAGAAAGGATTTGGAATAATGATGATCAGCGTGGCTTGTTTCAGCTTTGCGTTGTCCCTTTTACAAATGGTGGAAAATAAACTCGATCAAGGACGCTGCCAACTTCGCAAGAAGCTCGTCATCATCCGCAATGGTATTCAAATGGTTTTGGTCAATGTGATGTCCTTGATAATTCGTCTGGTGATCTTCATAAAGTACGGAAAAGATGAATCTATCTTTATGGCAAAAAATGGCATCGCCATATTTCTCTCCTTGTCTGAGATCTATCATTTATTGAACCGTAAGATTTGAATCCGACTTGCGTTAACTTCTTTGTCTTAGCTTACACTGAAAATTAAAAATTCATAACGTTTTCTTTACTCCTTTGAATTTTTGATATAGTTACACTTTGGCTAAAAGCTGTTCAGTTATTCAAGATGTGTTTCAGGTGTCCGTGTTTCTCATTTCGTTGTCGCTGTTTCATGATCCGCGAAGCGCTGGTTGTAACATCACTGACGGTGTTTCGTAAAACTGCTTTAAACATGAAAGTTTCTTTAGTTTCTGTGTAATGATTTAATTTTCTCTGCTCAAGGACCTCTTCAGTGCTAAATATATTAATCGTGCTTCCTGTTGTTGACTATAGCAAGGATGGCTTTTAACAAAATCTGGGGATTTTTGATAAGGATCCGATGTTAACGCGTCCGTACAGTGAGCTGTAATTTTCAGACTTGGTTTTCCCTCAGATTCTGTTTGCTGGATTTTTTGTCTACCGTGATGTGAGAAAATTTACAGAAATAATACTATACGCAAAACAAAAATTTATTTGGTAGAGACTTAACCGAGGCTCTAGTGAGCAGACATCTTGCCTTCTTTTGTTGTGCTGTTGTTTTATCAGCTTGTGACCGTTACAATTATTCGATAAAAGGCGAAAAGAAACTACCAAAAATTTCCCTGATTTTCATGAAATTTCCTTAAAAGTTGAACGGGATTTGGAAATTTCTTTCCTAGTGTGTCACAACGCAAAATCTATTATCACCAGTTTTACCAAATTCATTCTTAAATTCTGGTTTTTGAGTAAAAACAAGGTAAGCGATTACTGATAAATTATCTTGAAATAACTCATAAATATATGGTTAAAATTTTACTTTTCTACTCTGTCGGCCTAATTAATCAATGTACAAGCATTCATAACAAGAGTCAGCAAAAGCTAGGTTATCAGGTTTGCCTTCACTAAGATTTCAATTAAAGTAAAACGGTCATGGTTGCAATAAAATGCAAGAACAAAGCTGGTCACCTCATGTATGTCATTAAAAAGGTCACGCGAGATACATTTCTTAGAAAGATGCATAGAGGAAGGTATGACATCACGCGCAAAGAACTACAAATATTTTATGGAGTGTTTCTCGGAAAGAGCCGTTTATGCAATTAAATGCGTTGGTTTTCTTGGAAAGGTCGCGACCTTTAATTTATTTTCTTAAACGCCTTGTTAGAAACCTCAATCTCTGACATTGCACTAGCAAGAGTTTGAAACATGGTCCCAGAGTTTATTTCTAGCTTGGATTGGACGCGTCCTTTTCTTCACCTTGCAATTGCCTTGCGTTAATTCGTTTTCACTGGCTTCATATTCGCAGAATATGAACACAAAACATGGCCTTTTCAAATTTCTTGACTGTTTACTAAGTGGGAAACCCCCTTCAGTATGGATATATTTACTTTCGATTACCTCATTTGAATTCTCGGAAAACGCCACGTGTCATTTGCGAATTCGTAGAGCGATTGGTGTACGAAAAGTTCACTTACGATTTCCACAATGGCGGGTGTTCTGTCCTCTCTAAAGAGAAAAATCAAGTCTATACGATTAGTTTTCGTGGGACGCTTTGTAGTTCTCGCTCTGTTTTTGACTCAGTGTGGATTTTTCGCGGCTTATCCAACATGGTATACAGATGATTTGCGTTGGATTGCTGTCATAATTTTGTATGTACCAGCAATATTGTACTGGGGTTATTGCCTGAAAACCGATGCTGAACTTATCAGAATGTTTTTTACTTGGGGGTTATACGTTCTGGTCGCCTTAGTACCAAACATAGCCATCACTTTTGGAGTATGCGGAGACGAACTCGACAAAGAAAACTTCCTTGGTCCTAATTGCTTGAAAGTTATTTTGTGCCTTACTCCTGTCCTGTTCCTCGTGTTACTAAACACGGCAGACGATTTGAGCGACAACGAAGAATACAGACAGCTTGCTAAAGAATTATCTGTTCACATATCCATTGATCTTTTCGATGGCGTCGAGATGTTGGACGTCGTTCTTGACGAGAGAGAAAACAACTATGGAATCAAGAAAGGATTTGGAATAGCGATGATCACCGTGGCATGTTTTAGCTTTGTGTTGTCTTTGTTACAAATGGCGGAAAACAAACTCGAGAACGGAAGCTGCGAACTTGACAAGAAGCTCGCCATTATCCGCAATGGTATTCAAATGGTGTTCGTGAATTTGGTTTTCTTAATAATTCGCCTGGTGATCTTCATAAAGTACAAGAAAGATGAGTCTATCTTTATAGCAAAAAATGGCATCGCAATATTTTTATCCTCGTTGGAGATCTATTACTATCGGCAATCCTGAATCCGGCTAGCGTTAACTTCTTGAGTCTTACCTTTAACTGACTTTCATATCACGTTCTCTTTACTCCTTGGACTTTTAGATAATGGTAAAACTTTGGCTTAAGTACGCTGTTCAGTCTCGATCAGTTATTCACAACTGACTTTCAAGCGTCCGTGTGCATTTTACCTCTAATTATACTTGAGGTTTTGAAAGCTTTTAATCTGCAAAGCCCTGGTTAGGCAATCCCAGCAGTTCGTTCTAACATCATCCAACAGTGCTCAGTGAAACTGCCAGAACATCGAAGTTTATTCTCCAGCTGCGATACAGTTGAAAACTGTAGGAAACGAGTTCGATTTTGGCTACGATCTGTTCCAGTTTGCTTCAAGAAGTTGGATCATCTGAAATGTTGATTCCAGTTTACCTTTACAGTTTAAGTAATAACAAAGTTTTCTCTGCTTAGGGACCTCTCCAGTTTTGAATTGTGTTTCTTGTATCGACAGGGAAATTTTACTTGTTGTTTAACATCGAAATGGCAAACTTTCTGTGGATTTTAATGAAAGCTAGTCCTCTGTTGTTCTCGTGCAGTGAGGTATCCTTCTCAAACTTGGCTGACTTTCCTTTAGATTCCGTATGCTGGATGCTTTGTTTAACGTGATGTGAGATCCTATGAAAGTTTTTCACTTACAGAAGTAATGCTATGAAAACGTTACACTGTTATTTGACTGATGTTAGAGTAGTGTTGGGTTGTGTAATAGTGCAGATTTCTTCTTATTTCCTTATGTTGTGCTATTGTTAATTAATTGTTGTTTAAATTTAAAATTTACACTTAATTGATATAAGGCGAAAAGAAACGACACAAGTGACCTCTTCGGTATTGAACTGTGTCTCTTTCATCGAAAGACACAGCTTAATTGTGTAATTAGTGAACACCGATCGAATGGAGTGCTAAAATATTCGTTGTGGAGTAAATGGAAGTGCTCCAATGTACCGTGAATTTCCTTTAGATTCCGTTCGCTGGTTGTTTTGTCTAAAGTGATGAAAAAGTAGCATATTAAAGGGCCGGGTTACTCGCAAATCGGTTAACGCTAACCCAGGATTAAATTTTAACCGGAGAATTAATTGTTCTTGCCTAAAATATCTTCCACTGCTTATAATTATGATTTGTGTAGTTTGAAGTTATTCAAACTCTAAACTGAAGGACAAACAGTATAAACAGAAAACCTCACCGGAAGGTTACAAAACTGAAATCAGAATTCTCACTGATCCTGGGTTAGCTTAATTGGCTTTCAGCAACCCGACCCAGACGCATAACCATGTTAAACTTAGTTTAAATGTTATAGACTGAAACAAAGTTCTATTGACGGAATAAACTTCTGGTTTGTCAATTTTCCTCGATTTGCCTTTTCAGGCTGTACAATACCGTTATGACATTTACATTGCAGACTGCAGACTGCAGACTGCAGACTGCAGACTGCATTTAGGCCTAAATAACGTCCCGGTTAGCGTGAATATCACACAGGTCAACCTGTATAGCACTCAGGTTACCCTGTTTACAGTTAGCTCTATCTCTGCTCGGTAATGGAAAATGGAATACGATATCAGTTAATTTAAAAGTCTCCATTCTGCTGCATGCAGTCTACAAATGCAATACACTCGGTAAACTTAGTCGATAACATGCGAGAAGAAATTAAACTACCTAAAACTTCCCTGATTTTAATAAAATGTCATTAAAAGTTGAACAGGCTACTGTAGAAATAGTCGTTTTCTTTCCCAGCGTGTCACGCTGCGCAGAGTTCAGGATCACAAGTTTAACTGAATTTATTCTACGTATTTGATTCTTGTGTAAACAATGAGGTATGCAAATTCTCCTTATGTCTGCTCCTCTTGAAATAACTTAGAAATACTCAGGGAATGGTTGTTGAAACTTCTACTTTTTTGCCTTTCTTTTGAATTTATTCTCAAGCATTAATTACATATTTTAATTGATGTAGAGCAACAGTCCCTTCCAAAGCACGAGTCATGAAAAGTTTGAAGTTCTCTGTTCGCTTGATTATCATGTTCGTCTTGACTAAGATTTCGTACAAGTAAACTTATTTGAGCAAGCAAAAAACAGTCGTGATTGATTGCAAGAAAATGCAAAGACAAAGTTAATTTAATCATTCTAATTATGCCATTAAGGTCATGCTGAGCTGATTTCTCAGAAAGATTGAGAAAGGTATGACGTCATGTGCAAAGACCTACGCACGTGCTAGTCTAGTTAAGAAAGGATTTGGAATAATGATGATCAGCGTGGCTTGTTTCAGCTTTGCGTTGTCCCTTTTACAAATGGTGGAAAATAAACTCGATCAAGGACGCTGCCAACTTCGCAAGAAGCTCGTCATCATCCGCAATGGTATTCAAATGGTTTTGGTCAATGTGATGTCCTTGATAATTCGTCTGGTGATCTTCATAAAGTACGGAAAAGATGAATCTATCTTTATGGCAAAAAATGGCATCGCCATATTTCTCTCCTTGTCTGAGATCTATCATTTATTGAACCGTAAGATTTGAATCCGACTTGCGTTAACTTCTTTGTCTTAGCTTACACTGAAAATTAAAAATTCATAACGTTTTCTTTACTCCTTTGAATTTTTGATATAGTTACACTTTGGCTAAAAGCTGTTCAGTTATTCAAGATGTGTTTCAGGTGTCCGTGTTTCTCATTTCGTTGTCGCTGTTTCATGATCCGCGAAGCGCTGGTTGTAACATCACTGACGGTGTTTCGTAAAACTGCTTTAAACATGAAAGTTTCTTTAGTTTCTGTGTAATGATTTAATTTTCTCTGCTCAAGGACCTCTTCAGTGCTAAATATATTAATCGTGCTTCCTGTTGTTGACTATAGCAAGGATGGCTTTTAACAAAATCTGGGGATTTTTGATAAGGATCCGATGTTAACGCGTCCGTACAGTGAGCTGTAATTTTCAGACTTGGTTTTCCCTCAGATTCTGTTTGCTGGATTTTTTGTCTACCGTGATGTGAGAAAATTTACAGAAATAATACTATACGCAAAACAAAAATTTATTTGGTAGAGACTTAACCGAGGCTCTAGTGAGCAGACATCTTGCCTTCTTTTGTTGTGCTGTTGTTTTATCAGCTTGTGACCGTTACAATTATTCGATAAAAGGCGAAAAGAAACTACCAAAAATTTCCCTGATTTTCATGAAATTTCCTTAAAAGTTGAACGGGATTTGGAAATTTCTTTCCTAGTGTGTCACAACGCAAAATCTATTATCACCAGTTTTACCAAATTCATTCTTAAATTCTGGTTTTTGAGTAAAAACAAGGTAAGCGATTACTGATAAATTATCTTGAAATAACTCATAAATATATGGTTAAAATTTTACTTTTCTACTCTGTCGGCCTAATTAATCAATGTACAAGCATTCATAACAAGAGTCAGCAAAAGCTAGGTTATCAGGTTTGCCTTCACTAAGATTTCAATTAAAGTAAAACGGTCATGGTTGCAATAAAATGCAAGAACAAAGCTGGTCACCTCATGTATGTCATTAAAAAGGTCACGCGAGATACATTTCTTAGAAAGATGCATAGAGGAAGGTATGACATCACGCGCAAAGAACTACAAATATTTTATGGAGTGTTTCTCGGAAAGAGCCGTTTATGCAATTAAATGCGTTGGTTTTCTTGGAAAGGTCGCGACCTTTAATTTATTTTCTTAAACGCCTTGTTAGAAACCTCAATCTCTGACATTGCACTAGCAAGAGTTTGAAACATGGTCCCAGAGTTTATTTCTAGCTTGGATTGGACGCGTCCTTTTCTTCACCTTGCAATTGCCTTGCGTTAATTCGTTTTCACTGGCTTCATATTCGCAGAATATGAACACAAAACATGGCCTTTTCAAATTTCTTGACTGTTTACTAAGTGGGAAACCCCCTTCAGTATGGATATATTTACTTTCGATTACCTCATTTGAATTCTCGGAAAACGCCACGTGTCATTTGCGAATTCGTAGAGCGATTGGTGTACGAAAAGTTCACTTACGATTTCCACAATGGCGGGTGTTCTGTCCTCTCTAAAGAGAAAAATCAAGTCTATACGATTAGTTTTCGTGGGACGCTTTGTAGTACTCGCTCTGTTTTTGACTCAGTGTGGATTTTTCGCGGCTTATCCAACATGGTATTCAGATGATAAGCCTTGGATAGCTGTCATAATTTCATATGTACCAGTAATATTTTACTGGGGTTATTGCCTGAAAACCGATGCAGGGCTCATCAAAATGTTTTTTACTTGGAGATTGTACGTTCTCAAGAAAGATGAGTCTATCTTTATAGCAAAAAATGGCATCGCAATATTTTTATCCTCGTTGGAGATCTATTACTATCGGCAATCCTGAATCCGGCTAGCGTTAACTTCTTGAGTCTTACCTTTAACTGACTTTCATATCACGTTCTCTTTACTCCTTGGACTTTTAGATAATGGTAAAACTTTGGCTTAAGTACGCTGTTCAGTCTCGATCAGTTATTCACAACTGACTTTCAAGCGTCCGTGTGCATTTTACCTCTAATTATACTTGAGGTTTTGAAAGCTTTTAATCTGCAAAGCCCTGGTTAGGCAATCCCAGCAGTTCGTTCTAACATCATCCAACAGTGCTCAGTGAAACTGCCAGAACATCGAAGTTTATTCTCCAGCTGCGATACAGTTGAAAACTGTAGGAAACGAGTTCGATTTTGGCTACGATCTGTTCCAGTTTGCTTCAAGAAGTTGGATCATCTGAAATGTTGATTCCAGTTTACCTTTACAGTTTAAGTAATAACAAAGTTTTCTCTGCTTAGGGACCTCTCCAGTTTTGAATTGTGTTTCTTGTATCGACAGGGAAATTTTACTTGTTGTTTAACATCGAAATGGCAAACTTTCTGTGGATTTTAATGAAAGCTAGTCCTCTGTTGTTCTCGTGCAGTGAGGTATCCTTCTCAAACTTGGCTGACTTTCCTTTAGATTCCGTATGCTGGATGCTTTGTTTAACGTGATGTGAGATCCTATGAAAGTTTTTCACTTACAGAAGTAATGCTATGAAAACGTTACACTGTTATTTGACTGATGTTAGAGTAGTGTTGGGTTGTGTAATAGTGCAGATTTCTTCTTATTTCCTTATGTTGTGCTATTGTTAATTAATTGTTGTTTAAATTTAAAATTTACACTTAATTGATATAAGGCGAAAAGAAACGACACAAGTGACCTCTTCGGTATTGAACTGTGTCTCTTTCATCGAAAGACACAGCTTAATTGTGTAATTAGTGAACACCGATCGAATGGAGTGCTAAAATATTCGTTGTGGAGTAAATGGAAGTGCTCCAATGTACCGTGAATTTCCTTTAGATTCCGTTCGCTGGTTGTTTTGTCTAAAGTGATGAAAAAGTAGCATATTAAAGGGCCGGGTTACTCGCAAATCGGTTAACGCTAACCCAGGATTAAATTTTAACCGGAGAATTAATTGTTCTTGCCTAAAATATCTTCCACTGCTTATAATTATGATTTGTGTAGTTTGAAGTTATTCAAACTCTAAACTGAAGGACAAACAGTATAAACAGAAAACCTCACCGGAAGGTTACAAAACTGAAATCAGAATTCTCACTGATCCTGGGTTAGCTTAATTGGCTTTCAGCAACCCGACCCAGACGCATAACCATGTTAAACTTAGTTTAAATGTTATAGACTGAAACAAAGTTCTATTGACGGAATAAACTTCTGGTTTGTCAATTTTCCTCGATTTGCCTTTTCAGGCTGTACAATACCGTTATGACATTTACATTGCAGACTGCAGACTGCAGACTGCAGACTGCAGACTGCATTTAGGCCTAAATAACGTCCCGGTTAGCGTGAATATCACACAGGTCAACCTGTATAGCACTCAGGTTACCCTGTTTACAGTTAGCTCTATCTCTGCTCGGTAATGGAAAATGGAATACGATATCAGTTAATTTAAAAGTCTCCATTCTGCTGCATGCAGTCTACAAATGCAATACACTCGGTAAACTTAGTCGATAACATGCGAGAAGAAATTAAACTACCTAAAACTTCCCTGATTTTAATAAAATGTCATTAAAAGTTGAACAGGCTACTGTAGAAATAGTCGTTTTCTTTCCCAGCGTGTCACGCTGTGCAGAGTTCGAGATCACAAGTTTAACTGAATTTATTCTGAATATTTGATTCTTGTGTAAACCATGAGGTATGCAAATTCTCCTTATGTCTGCTCCTCTTGAAATAACATAGAAATACTCGGGGAATGGTTGTTGAAACCTCTACTTTTTTTTGCCTTTCGTTTGAATTTATTCTCAAACATTTATCATATATTTTAATTGATGTAGAGCAACAGTCACTTCCAATTAAGCACGAGTCATGAAAAGTTTGAAGGTCTCTGTTCGCTTGATTATTAGGTTCGTCTTGACTAAGATTTCGTTCAAGTAAACTTATTTGAGCAAGCAAAAAACATTCGTGATTGGTTGTAACAAAGTGCAAAGACAAAGTTAATTTAATCATTTTGAGTATGTCATTAAAATCATGCTGAGCTGATTTCTTAGAAAGATTGAGAAAGGTATGGCGTCATACGCAAAGAATAGCGAAGCGCGTGAGTGACGTCATTACTCAGACAAACTCAGCCAAACAAAACGGAATTGTGGAAGATTTGACGCTTTTTCAAGCGCGTAAGCAAGTGTTCCTAAAACAATTTTTCAAACGAAAATTTGGCGTTCAGTTTCCTCTTATTTCTCCCAGAACACGCTTATGTTGTCTGACTCTCGCGGGGTTCCAATAATTTGCATTCTATTTTTAGACGTCGCGCGCTTCGTTATTACGTATGTACGAGTCTTTTGTGAGTGTTTCTCGGAAAAAAAGCTTCATGACCTTTATCCGCATTTCCGTTCGTTTTCTTAGAAAGATCGTGCTTTGGGCTTGGCATAGAAAGTCTATTCAAACCGAATTAGAAACCTCAGTGCCTGACAGAACAGTCACGCGCTTTGCGCTAAAGTTAAATCATGGCTTTATGTCTCGTTTGGATTGGACGGCTCGTATTCTTCGGCGTGGTTTGCCTTCAGTCGTATTCACTGGCTTCATATCCTGCAGAATATAAACATGATGATGGCTTTTACGCATTGTGTCTCTTATTTGGCCCTGCTCTTGCCCTCCGGTTTTACATCTTGTGCGAGGAAAAAAAGCTACAGTGGTTATTTGCTGTCTGGTTACTATACGT